TCTTGAATGACCAGTGATGTTGAACATTTTTTCATATATTTTTTTGCTGCTTTTACTTCTTTGTCTGAGAAATATCTGTTCATTTCAGATGCACATTTTTGAATGGCGTTGTTGAATTTGGGGGGGTCTGATATTTTTCAATTCTTTATATATTTTATATAGTAGACCTTTTTCTGAGGTACAGCTGTTACAATTTTTTTCCCACATTGTAGGTTGTCTCTTAGCTCTGTTGGTGGTTTCTCACACAGTGCAGAAGTATTTAATAAGATGAGATCCCAGTTGTTGATTCTTGGTGATAATTCTCATGCTAATGAGGTTTTGTTCATAAAGTCTTTTCCCATGGCAACATTGAGGCCAATTTCTAGACTTGTAAGTTTGAAGTCTTGAATTCCCACATTTAACATGCATTTGTGACTCCCCAGTACATAGTACATAAAAGAAAATTACCATTCATTATTTGTATGAGATTGGACAAATTCAGTTAATTTAAAAGGTCAGTGTTGTAGGCCATGATACTTAAATAAAAACAGCCTCTCATATTTATTGTTAAGAATGAATGACAAAAATAATATGAAATAACCAGTTTTGCTGTGAATTATATCAATTATATTAAGCTGTTTATTAAAAATGATCACTTCAGCCATCCATCCCACCACTCCCAGCCCAGAGGAAAGGGGTTCTGGGCCACCTACTGTCCTGCCACTCCTGGCCCAGAGGTAGAGGCTTCTGAGCCACTATCCCACTCTGCCTGGTCCAGAGGAAGGGGCTTCCTGGCCACCATCCCTGCTGCCGCTCCCAGGCCAGAAGAAGGGGCTTCTGAGCCACCATCCCAACCACCACTCCTGGCCTCTGTCCCACCTCTCCCAGCCGAGAAGAGGTAATCCACGCAGGTGCCAATAGCACCTCCCCTGCCACCCTAATCAAAATGAGAAAACAAGTAAATAAGTCTCAAAACCAGACTTCCAGATCACCTAAAGCAACCCCAAAGGGAAATGAGATGGAACACTCTGAT